TCAGAGGGGCGGCGGCGGCTCTGCTGGTTACCCCCCCACGCCCCCCCCTCCAAAAATAATGCAGCTGGTGCCCAGCTCACGGCCCCAAGTCACCCCAAGTCACCTCCCGTTCTTTGGCAGCCGTGGGGGGGCACAAAGGGGCTCTGAGGACAGCACTGTCTCACCGCTCCAGGCACAGCCCCTTGAGGGCCGGTCGGGGAATGAGCCACCACCCCACTACAGATATGAGCAGGTGCCTTTACAGCAACACCAGAACGGTATTTCCAGAGGGGACGGAGCAGAATAGGGTTTTGCAAGCCGGGGGGGCCTTTTTCCCTCTCAAATTTGCTAAACGGCAAACTCTCCTGAGTGCCCACCTCCCCGGTGAGCGGTGCCCGCTCTGGTGCCCTCGTGTGCTGGGGCTGGCACCGGCCCCACAGCGCATCACCCTGCCAGGATTAACCAGCCCCCACTAACCGGGCTGAAAATAATTAAAAAAAAAAGACTGTGAGGGAAGAAGCTGCTGCTTTGAAGCCAAGAAGTGACTTTAATAACTAGAGGTAATTGGATGAGCAAAGAGAAAAAGCCATAGCATTAATTATTAAGACAGACTAATTGTTGGCAAGGCAAAATTAGGAGACCTCACCGCTCACGCACGGGTGTCTGATTGCGACAGGAGCTCCGGGCTAGCTAGAAAACTCTCCTTTCGCTGAGCACACACAAAGCCAACAGGTCTTTCACACCAGGATCACTCTCGCCATCAGAGCTGCGACGTTACTCGGCTCCGAGGTGCCTGACCAGGCACAGCATCTTTCGCCCGTGCTCCCATCCCACGTTACACGGGGGATGCAGCATGCTCTGGCTGTGGGCAGCCACGGGGTTATCCACATTACTGGTTATTCAGAACTATAAATGAGCTTTTTTAAACAAAACACGGGTTTTCATTAGAAAACGGTGAGAGATTGTAATCAAACATATTCTGGGAAGCACGTAGTATTCTGACTCTCTTTCAGACGAGTCTATTTAGTCGTGACAGGCTAAAAACATGTAGTTTTACTTTGCCGGCTTGACAGAGGATTTTTTTTCTTTTAAACTTTAAAGCTAATCTTAGCAAAATGTAGTACAGAAGGTCAAGAGTCAAAATTTGAGTAAAATGATCAAACAAAAAATTTCCACAGCCAGCAACAGTCTTTGGGTTCTCTGCCTCGTGACAGCATTAGAAAAAATGGTAATAATTTTTTCTGCTTGGATCAGTTTTAGGAAAAGAAACAAATTAAAAGAAACCCGAAGTGAATGTTTTGTAACCTGTGAAAACTATTCCTTGCTACAATTGAGAGCAGCTATTAAAAGCAGCAGTGGTCACACCACGCTGCCTGAGGGGCTGCTGGGGACCCCAGTGTCCCACCAGTGCCGGGCTCCTCTGGCTGGGAATTCTTTTAATTAATTTTCTGGGCGAAGACAATTCATAACTAAAATAAAGCAACTTAATTCTACTGCCCCTTCCAACCCTCGGTGCCCAGTTTGGTGAGAAGTGTTTTACCGCAGGGTGGCTGCACCAAGCACCCAGGATCGGTCCTCGCACGGGGCGGTGGGGGCTGTGTACCCGCCCCACGGCGAGATGTTTAATACGTGAAAGGAGAAGAGTAAACCCGCCTGATGACACAAATCGAATACAGGAGCTCATCTGATCGTAATCTGCCCTGCTGCACGCAGGCACAAAACATCTTTCCTAGGAATAACCCCTGCTCGGTTTTGATGACTATTTCAAGAGCTGTTATGTTTTCCCCAGACTCTGAACAAAAGCAACCTAAGTGAAAAGCTGGCTTTTTGCACAGTTTGTTTTTGAGGCACGGTTACATACATGATGCTGTTTTGTAGGAAAGAAACTTGCATTTTACACCTTTCCCATATGTTTGAAATAACAGAACACATTGCTGAAGTTGCTCTCACTTCATACAAGTGTATAAAGTCAGCATCGGGGGG